AAACCACCACCGGCCTCCGAGCCCTTTCTCCCCTTGGCAGATTTCTGCTGCGCACCAAGTCCAAAACAAACCGGGGCTGCGCTCCTTTTTTCCCTTTTGCACTGGCTGCGCCAGCCAAAAATGTCCAGGATGCCAAACCAAGCCAGCAAAGAATGCTGATGTGAGCTAATTCATCGCAAAAGTAGTCGTTTGAACCAGAGGAACTCGAATACAATGGTGTAGCTGACACACACACACACACACACACACACACACACACACACACCAGTCGCCTTATCTTATCTATATCTAATCTATCAGAACAACAATTAGTTAGAACTTACCTCCATCCAATAGGGATTGGCGGAAGATTGGCGGGAGTAGGATTTGAACCTACAACATTCAGACTATGAGCCTGACGAATATGACAACACGCACGATAACAATCCTCTAAGGGGGAAACCAACTGTGCAGTTACGTTCAGCGCCAGACAGTAGGTTCATGCTCTCTAAGTACTACATAGCACCAGGGCGGCCCGCATTCAACCTAATTGACGCCACCAGGACACACCAGGGCACCAGCGGTTCTCGTCGGTTGGTCAAAGGCTGTGACCTTGGGGAACACTTTCCTTGTGCTGTCCATTTCCCCATTCTTTCTTTTTTGTTTTCCTTTTAAAGCACAAGTACATCCAGCTATCTGCCGCGGGAGCCCGTCAGAATCCAGTAGACGGCGCAGGCCACCAACTTCTTTTATCAACGGTGAGCCTGCGCCATATTGTTCAGAAGAAACTCGGTGGCGACGAGTTTCTTTTCAGCAAGGCTGGGGCCGTGTCCTAGCGGTTTAAACCACCACTACCTGCAGCATGCCTGTCACCAAAAAGGCTCCGCAAAGTCTGGAGGCCTGTAACGCACCGACACCGCCAATGGATGGATTTAATCAACGGCAGGCCCAACATCCTGACACTTCAGCTAGTAGGCTACTACTTGAAATTCGGACGCCTGCAGGTAGCAGTGGTTTAAAAGGTTGTGCAGGCCAAGATATAGGCACACCCTACCCTGACTGCAAGTGCTATAATCACTCTCCCACGACACACCCAGGGCAGAGTGGGGCATTCCAAGGCGCGGGGACTCCCAATGGTATTTCCCCATTCTTTTGAGCCTCCTTCAACTTCGACCAGCCAATCGCTACCACAGATTATAGCATTTTTTTTTTTTTCCACGTGGTTCAACAAGGGCTCGTTTTCCATTTTTGTTGAGCATAGTTCTTCTCTCAAATTCGCCATCGCTACTACCTACCCCTACTCCTAAGCCTATACAGGGGCTACTTCTCACGATCAAGGGGATGCATGTTGCCCCCTTCCCTAATCGGCAGTGGTCAGGGAGTAGGGTGGGGGTGCCAGTGGAGGGAGCAGACTAACGCAAAGACCAAGCATTTTGCCAATGGCTGCGCCTTCCACCTACCTTCCCCGCCTCCATCAAGTAACAGCAGTGTCCCACCATCCCATCTATTTTTATTTTCATACATAACACACTTCTATTCTTGAAAACAAAAATCTATCGTGCGATGAAGTTCCAGGTTTATGGATTTTCAAAAAAAAAACATCTGTGGCTGCCGCACGTGGTCCAACAACAAATCAAAGGTTTCCTGGTGCGCAACTGCCACACCTTCCCTTGCTTTGCACAGGCTCCACTGCGCTGCACATGTGCAATGGACGGCTTTAGGACACCACAATGAGAACATGAACTTGCCTCGACACTGAAGGCTAGACATGTTCAACAGACTGAGGACGCACTCGCATGAGGACTTTCCTTGGTGTATAGGAACGCGATTACAGGCAGATTCAGTCAAAATGGAACAAGGCAAGCATGAATCTGCCCGGCAACTGATGCTAGAAATGAACTTGGCTGGACACTGAAGGCTAGGCAGGTTCAAAAGACTGAGGACACACTCGCACGAGAACTTTCTTTGGTGTATAGGAACGCGATTACAGGTAGATTCAGTCGAAATGAGACGAGGCAAGCATGAATCTGCCTGGCGGCTGATGCTAGACATGTTTGAACTGCCAGTTCACCTGAAGCCGGCGGCGGTAAGAGCTTTTTTATTCCGGCCTGGACCAGTACTGAACGTGGCAGGCCATTTTGAAAACGTGGAGTTTCAAGCTCCTGAGCCTTTGAAGCTAGCCTTGTGAACTTAGCCCAGACAGGACAGGAAGCCGACACAAAACATGCACACGACACGAACCGTGCACGACCATGGGGGGCGCATTCCGAGAAATGAACTTGGGACCTCTCGCACGTGAAATGCAAATTTTGCATTGGCGATATTGCGATTATAGGGGCACCCTCCTGATCACACGTGTAGCCGTGTGGACTCAGAACCGAACACTGCACATGTGTAGCCTTGTGAAATTGAGCTAATGTGAGGGCCTGCTCATACTAGCAGGTACAATTGCAAAATTTTGCATTGCCGATTTTGCGATTATATGGGCACCATCCTGGTCACACAGCTCTCCCGCATCTAGCACAGAACAGAAAAGACACGACCGCAACCAGTCCTCCAAATGGGAATTCCCACCCGGTGCATTCACACATGGCAAGGCACAAAAATTAAATCATGAACGCAGAAAGAAATCAGAGAGAAAGGGACAAAAACGTATTTTGCCGGCACCTCCAGGGGTGCCGCAAAATACGCATGCCTGAGGCTGCCGAGGCCACTGACATATGCGTACCCAGATAACTGAATTTGCAAATTGCGGCAAACATATGCCCCTCTTCGTACTCGAGAACAGATTCTTCACGTCTGATGATGATCTATTGTGCAGGGGCCATGCTTATTTTCTCTGCATCATTCCAATTTTTACGGATGTCCTGGAATACATTCACCCTGTTTTTCTATCCTTCTGCTACTCCCGCTTTTTCCTTTTCCCAGTACCCTTTCTATCCTTCTGCTACTCCCGCTTTTTCCTTTTCCCAGTAACCCGACGATATTCCCTCCCTCCCTCCCTCCCTTTTCTGTTTTTCTCCCTCTTTCCTCCAGTGTTTTCAGATTATTTTTTTTTCCTCGGAAAAGCGTAACAATTTATATTGCAAAAATTGGAAATTCACAGAAATGGATTTATCGCCTAACAATTTTGTATGCAACTGGATTTGTTGACTTTACTCCAAGCATATTCCGTTCTTCCTTTTCTCAGTTTTCTGTTTTTCTTCCCCCTTCCTCTCTTTTTTTTTTCCTTCTTCAGAAAAGGAGTTATCCCCTAACGGTTATGTGTACAATAATACAACTGGATTTGCGAACTTTCGGAGCAGACTCAGACTACCGTCTTCACCCGAATACAGTGTACGATCATTATAGCTGTATTTGGGACAACTTTTTGAGTCTAGAATCTAAATACATCAATAATCACAGTACTTTGTATTCGGGTGAAGACGGTCGGACTGTCTTTGGACTGCGGAAAAACAAAAGGACAATCTCTGGACTGGTGAAAAACAAAAGGACTGTCTTTGGGGAAAAACAAAAGGAAAGTCTTTGGACTGAAGTACGAGTAGCAATGAAGGCTGCATGAACCGTTCGGAGGAGAGAAATAAGTGCTACAAAGCGCGCATTTTGGATTTGTGACATCCAGCGTCGTTAAAGTGACCTCACAACATGATTTGTTCAAAAAAAAAGAAAAGAAGAAGAAAAAGTGACCTCACAAGAGTCACAATACACTATTCTTTGCCATCTGATATGTAAACGAAAGTGCTACCGTCTTCCCCCAAATAGAACGCCCGGTCATTGTCACTGTACCTAGACTGGAAGTTCTGCCAAATACAGGTATAATGACTGGGCATTCTATTCCGGTGAAGACGGTAGAGTGAGTGCATGTCTGTGTGTGTGTGTGTGTGTGTGTGTGTGTGTGTGTGTGCCATCAATCTGTTAAACCACCAGTTGAGGGCAAAGTCGCGTAAAATTGCAAAATCACAAAATTTGTGACACTTACACACATAAACTGAGAAATGTTTCGGGAAAAAAAAAAAAATTCGGGGGAAGGGATGGGATGTTACTTCTGTGTATGTCTTCCTAAGGAAGGGATAGAATTATTATCCCGAAAGAGTATGTAGGGGTGCTGAGAGAAAAGAAAACCCTGTCCTGAGCCTTCTGACTCATCCCCCCATCATAATCATCCTTTATCAGCTCAGATGCCTCTAGCAAGGATACTTCAAACATTCTGACGCCCAGGGGCATGGTCTGTACCTGAACGTGAAAGTCATCAATGTTCATTCTGATAGAGGCATTAGAGCAACAAGACAGCGAAATATGGAGGCAGTGGTGCAAGCCCACGAAAGAAGGATATTTAGCACCATCAAATAAAATCCAAGCCATTTGGGGAAAAAGGGGCACAAACAGATTCGCGAATGCTTCAAAAATTCAAATCCTTGGAAAGTTCAACGCTCTTTCTTCACTCCGTAATTCTAACAAAATCACTCTATAGCAATTACAAAATATGCATCTCTGAATCATTGATCCCCCATCCATCATCCATCATATCATATACAATCACTCTATAGCAATTACAAAATATGCACGTTTGAATCAATGATCCCCCATCCATCATCCATCATATCATATACAATTAAACACCACGGAAAAGACGAATGCGCAGCAGCAACGCATAAAATCCAAGGCATTTAGAGGGGGCGGGAGGGGGAGGAAGGGCGCAAAAAAAAAAAAAAAAACAGAAAGAGAGAGAGGGAGATGAAAATGCTTCAAAAAACTTGGAAATTCAATATTCTTCACTCCATAATAATTACAAAAAAAATCACTTTATAGTAATTACAAAATATGTTTGAATCACTGATCAGTGATCATCCATCCAGCAATTAACAATCGGCCATCAACAAATAACCGCTGCATCCCTCATGTCATCACTCAGCATAAATTTCCAATCGGGTACCCCCCCCCCCCACCTTTCTCCCCCCGGTGACGGACGCAACCCTGTTCAACAACGCGCACCCTTTCTCCCAGTTGAAATGCCATCATCGAGTTGAAATGCCATCATCGTCTATCCAATGCAGCCATCGTCTAACACAATGCAGCGAGTGGGCTCCCAATACACAACAGGCCGCGAAACCTCCGTCTCCGATCTTAAAGGACAAGAGATCAAGCCTCGATGAGCTTCTCCAATCCGAACAAACCACCACCGTTGATTTGCTCAAGTCGCCTACCTAATCACAACTGTATTGACCAATGCAGCCATCGTCCAATCAATGCAGCGGGCCGCCAATACACAGCATGCCGCAAAATATCAGTCTCGCATCGTAAAGGGGACAAGGGATCAAGCCTCAATGACGTTCTCCAATCAGAACACAACACCGTTGCTTTCCTTAAACTCACCTACCTACCTACCTGCTACCTAGTCATAACTGTATTGACCAGTCTGATCGACTAAAGATGAGCATATTCATGTATGTAAACATCCAACGTCAACACAACTGCACCAAACCTAACGTAACCCAACCTCTCTCATCTCCAGATTTTCCTCCTTTTTTTAATAGCTGGAGGAATGGAACGGAACCCCATAAGGCGCAAATAAACAAACTTGGTAAAGTTCTGCATAATAAAATAAAAAAGAGGGCTCCTTGAGGGTTTGAATACTCTCCCCTCCCTCCTCCCTCCCCTGCTCTCTCGAACAACGGAATGGCTATACATCCTCATTACATTCAAATACCTCCTCGGCACCTTCTTCCTTCCTTTTTCTCTCCCTCCCTCATACGGATCCCTTCAACACTCGCCACGAAGTCTCCGCTTTCTACACTCCCGATCACCGATCAACCAACCTGCAGGATCCTCCCCCCATAAATAATCAAAACTCGCCCCCCACAGGTCCTCCTCGAACCTCCCTCCTCAATCTGCCAGCAAAGAATCTCTCTCTCTCTCTCTCTCTCTCTCTCTCTCTCTCTCTCTCTCTCTCTCTCTCTCTCTCTCTCTCTCTCTCTGCGTGTGTGTGTGTGTGTGTGTGTGTGTGTGAGAATGTGTTTGGCACAGGCGCGCAAACCCGTATACATGACAGAAGGTTCAACCTCCTCCTGATGAGTCAGTGAAAGACCGGCGAAACTATGTCAATCTGCCTGCAAAGAATCTCTCTCTCTCTCTCTCTCTCTCTCTCTCTCTCTCTCTCTCTCTCTCTCTCTCTCTCTCTCTCTCTCTNTCTCTCTCTCTCTCTCTCTCTCTCTCTCTCTCTCTCTCTCTCTCTCTCTCTCTCTCTCTCTCTGTGTGTGTGTGTGTGTGTGTGTATGTGTGTGTATTTGACACGCGCAAAAACAGACACACGCGGCAGACTGCCAGCTTCAAACCTCCTGATGAATCGGTGAAAGCCCGACGAAACAGTCTGTTGTTGTCACAATCACCCCTCTTTTAACGGAGTTGCGCTTGACGAGTACACAACACCCGTACGTAGACAGGTTCTCTCTTTATCATCTAGAACAGATTCGTACATGTATGTGGTCTTAGTACCTTGGTCGATACTTCAGGCGAACGCTCTGAACATGAATTCCTTGAATCTGTGTGCGTAAAGGGCGGGATCGACCGCGGAGATGGCAGCCCCATCGTACTGTACGGACTTGATCGCGTTCTCGGCCCACTTGCGCATGTCGTACTCTTGCAGGATGTCGATGATCCCAAAGTACAGCACGACGTCCTTCACTTGCTTTGGCTCCGTCTCCTTAAGGGTTCCCGCCTCGACGGAGATGGCCGTCGCGGCCATATTCACTCCTAGCTGCACCTTCGACCTTCCGAAATGGAAGGCCAGCGCGTCCGTTCCGCAGTCTGATCCGAGCATCGGACGCAGGGTGTCGGTCCTCTTCGGTGCGCGCGAAATGACAGCTGGACTAAGCATGTTCCGCTGCCCTCCTCGCCCCTCTCCAACACTACCTCCCACTCCCCCAGCTCCCCCCGCTTGCGGCCCTGCCCAGCTCTTCCTTACGTCCCGACCTGCACCCGTTCCCGCCTTGAGCGTCGCTGTCGATGGCTGCAGCAGGACCAACTGTCCCGACATCGGGATCGACAAATCCTCGTCGTCCATCTCCGCCTCCGTACCTCCTGGCGTGGGAGTGTTTGTCCCCCCATCTTCCACTCCCCAATGATTTCCCATGGAGTTTCGCCGTCCTCCTCCTCCTCCTCCTCCTCCTCCTGCTTCCTCCCCATTCTCCTCGTCGGCCAAATCACCTGTTTTCTTCCTCGGCCTTGGCGGCAGTCCGGAGTGCGGCGATGGACTCCTCGCGTCCCCTACTCCTCCCCGTCCTCCTCCTTCTTGGCCCCCACCTCCTTGCCTTTTGCTTGACCTATAATGCAACCCCAACAGCAGGCTATAGTCCATGATTCGCTGTTCCTCCAAGAACTGACAATCAGCCTCCAGTTGCCGGACCAGCCTCTCTCTCAACCCCTCTTCCAGCTTGAACACCATCTCCAAATCCAGGTCCTTGAGCGTCGTGTTCACGTCGATGTTACTCTTGTCCGTCGACCTGCCTAACGTCGACCCTTTCAGATCGTACCTCCTATGGATGGCAAGATCCGTGCAGAACAGATTGCCCATCACCACAAACCGCACGCTCTTCCCTCCAAAGGGCCTCACCCTGTGCAATCCGAAGAACTTCGTTAACAGCGTGTTCTCGTACCGCTCCACGTGGCGATAATACCGTTCGAGCATGTTCAATAGCACAGTCATCTCGGACTTGTTCATGGTCTTGATGATGAACTTGTCGTCGTTGGACAGGAAGAACACACTGCCGCTCTTCCCGGGAGAGGGCAGTTGCCGCAGAGCATCGTTCCCGCAGATCGACATCATGTACTCGCTCGCATCGATACCAAACATTTCACGCAGTCTTCGGAACGCGAAGGGGCAATAATCCTTCCAGGAGAACTCGGGAGAGTGGTGAGGAGGCGTATTGCGGCTTCCGGCCTTGGGGAAACGCTGGTAAATGACCGCTTTGGGACCGAAATCTTCCTCGGGGCAAATCTCTCGATGAGGCATATTGCTGACTTTCCCGACTGTGTATCGGATTCCCAGCTGCAGATTGAGCATCAGGAAGTAACTGCGGTGAGTTTTCATGATGTATTCTCCCTGCTTCTTGAGCTCAAACTTGTGCCTCACTCTCTCATTTATTCTCTCCCCCTTCTTCTTCTTCGTCGCGACTACCACCTCTTTGACCGTCTCCTTCACCAACACTCCGTCCTCGTACTCCCTCATCAAGACCTTGTGCCGGCGCGAGCGCGGCTTCTTGTGCCCGCCGCCCGCGCAGTCTCCCGCAAGCTCTTTCCCCTCCCCATCGCTCACACCCGGAAGCAGCAACGCTTCCGAGGACAGCGTTGCCATGTGCGCGAATCCGCCTCCGGAGCACGCCATGGTCGCGCCGTGAAAAGCCCCCGAGACCGCGGAAGTTGCGCCCTGTATCGCTCCGGCTATCGCTCTTTCCGCCCCGTGAATTGCCCCCGTCACCCCGCCTCCCGCGCGCTTTAGCCGGCGAGGACGGTGCTGCCGTCCGGCGTTCCCCTCCTCTTCCTCCTCCTCCTCTTCATACCCGCAACCATCGCGCCGCCGTCCGTCAGCAGGAGCCTCGTCTCCATCATCATCAGCTCCAGCTCCTCGACTTCTGCCTGCTCCTCCAACCACAAGCTCGGAATCCGTTGCGCTTCTGGTGAAGCGATGATGTCGGCGCGGCTCGCCTTCTCCTCCGATGGCTCCGCCACCTCTTCCGCCGCCGCCGCTTCCGCTGTCCTCCGCGGCCGCGGCGGTCGACGTCCGCACTTCGTGCAGATCGATTTCGAAAACGCTCCCCTTCTTGTCGCCGCTGTAACCAGCAGCGTGACCCTTCTTGTGAGGGGCACCTCCACCTCCTTCTCCTCCTACCCCTTGGTTCCCCTCGCTACCTCCCTCCCTATTCCCAACGGCAGCGCCACTCTCTCCCGCCGAATCGCCAGCGGACTTGGCTGCTGCTGATACCGATGACGGAAGCGGCGGCAGAGGAGCCAGCGGAGGTGGCTGAAAGATGGGAACCTTCTTCTTCCGTGGACGTCGGGCCGCCAATTTCCTTCGGCCATCGATCTCCTCCTCCTCCCTCTCCCCTTTCTTAAGAAACGTCTCTCCCCCGTCGTCGACTTCCTTCCATTCCCGCCCACACAGAAGCGGGCCGCTCCACTGTCTCTCCAGCTTCGCCCGCACCTTCGGCCTCACGGCCTTCGGTCGAGGATGGCGCTTCGGAAGCTTCACACCGCCGAGCACCCCACCCACCTCCCTCGCATTCAGCACGATCATCATCCTTTCTCTCTCCGTCAGCGGTCCACTGTGACTCATCAGCCGACTGCTACTAGACATCCGATAAGGCCGCCTCTGTTTTCCGCCTCCCCCAGCACCCGCACGGGCTTTCTCTGCAGCTCCCCCTCCCCCTCCACCTTTTCTCCCTCCCGCTGATCGACCTCCTCCTTCGTATCCCTCTCCCCCGACTCCGCCAGATTCCCCGACCACTCTGCTGTTCGTGAAAGACCCACTCTCCTCTTCTCCATCGTTGTTCTCGCACACGCCTGGTCCCCACCATCCCTCCCCGCCATCGGCAAATTCTTTGATGATCTCGCCGTGGCGATCACACCGCAGAGCTTTGACGCAGCCGGGGGGGTAGAACAAGCCTTTGCCGTCTTTCAGGCCCTTTTTCCATACACCCTCATAGCACGCGCCGTTAGCCCACGTGAAGAGCCCTTTGCCGTGCTCCAGGCCCTCCAACCACTGACCATCGTACCTGTCGCCATTGGCCCAAACGAGAGTGCCTCGACCCGACATCAGTCCCCCCCGCCACTCACCTAGGTACTCGCTGCCATCCGCCCAGGTGTACCTACCCAACCCTTCCTTGATGCCCTCCTTCCACAGACCGCCATAGACATCCTTGTTCGCGAACACTTTGGTGCCCAGACCGCACTTCTTGCCAACGTTCCAACCCCCTTTGTACCACGTGCCGTCCACCCCCTTGTACTCGCCCATTCCGTGCATTTTGCCACGATACCATTCGCCGTCGTAGACGGCCCCCGAAGGCCAGGTGAACGTACCCTTCCCCTGCCTCTCCCCATTTGCCCAATCCCCATCGTACACGCTCCCATCGGCCCACCTGTACGTCCCCCTCCCGTTGGGAAGACCACAACTGAGCCTCCCCGTGTACGCATCCCCGTTCAAGAATTCCTTCCTCGCCACCAACCCCGCATCAGACGATCCTGTCGTAGAGCACGGCATCTCTCTCTCTCTCTCTCTCTCTCTCTCTCTCTCTCTCTCTCTCTCTCTCT